TTGGTACCAGGGATTGAATTCAGGTCCTTGTGCTTGCAAGGCCGGCAGCAGAACCGCTGAGCTAAATCCCCAGCCCAACATTGTGGAGTTTTAAGGGTTCCGATTCATGTAGCAGGATGCATATATCCTTAGAATTTAGGCTTTGCACCAGAAATACAAATCCTTTGGTTGGTTCAACTAAAAAAGCAAGTATATTTTAAGGACACTAAAGGAAAAATTAACTCAATCTCCCTTTTTCCATGGAGAAAATTTGGTTCCAATAAGGCATGAGTGAAAAGCCTACCAAATCCCTTCACTTTTTTCCCTGCTACAAAGCCCATTCCTATGACTTTGTACTTGCAGCAACATAGGGACATTTCTGATTTGTAATCTGGCTGGGAATGTTTGCACAGTGAGCTCGCCAAGGACAGACACAATTCATGACCTTAACTGAGATGAACTCCTTAAACATATCTCCCCCTCCCACATCCACACGTCTCCATGCATGCAGCAGCAGCCATTTCCACAGGGGCTGGATAAAGGGGTTGGCCATGATCTGACGTAGGCTGTATTTAGCTGTTGCTACAAATCTTTCTAATGAGCACTGTGTGAAATGCCCAGTGATGTTAAATGTCTCCTTCATCTTCCCTTATTATTATTGTGGAGTTTCCCTAAAAGCAGTGAAGTGCTGGGATTTTTAAAATTGATTAGCAGATGTGATTTTGCTTACATCTTCCATAAATGCTCTGGCTGGCTGCATACCATTGATTACTAGGGGTTCAGTTTACAGCAACTAATTGCTCTCTTTGCTGGTGTTTTGATACAAAATTCAATAGCAAATATGATTTCAAAACTCTTGTCTTTGTGGCTTGAGTCAGAAGTGACTCGAGGCAAACCCAGTGGACTGAGTTTTCCCATCTTAAAATAATTGCTCTCTCATCAGTCTGTGAAGAAAGTTTCCAAATTGTAGCATTCTAATTGGAAAGTCTGCATTATGCATGCAATGACAAACTATGTTGTGCTGAGTGGCATTTTTTTCATCCCTTTCTTAAGGGATTA